ACTTGGTATATCCGTCAAAATTTTGACGGATCCGCTATTTATCAAATATGGGCATTGTTAGTGTGGCTAACATGTTCATTCTAATGCTTACATGAATCTCAAGTGTACAAATTATATATATATATATATATATATATATATATATATATATATAGACAATTATCAGCTACCTTCCATGTTTGATAGTCACCCCCCCCCCCCCTCCCCCTCCCACTCTCAACCAAAAATAAAGTTTTAAAAGATATTTTAAATTAAACAAGATTTATATTTAAAACTTTGAGATGGATATAACCATTGGTTAGTCTAATTTGAACACATTAAGATGAAGACAACCATGACTTCCTCCATTATCTCAAAGGTGAGAAAGGTAACTATTGGTCGCCTTCATCTAATACGTCTAAGACGTGAGTTGAGAGGTCCAAATGTGGCCATCTTTGCTCAAATATCCATAATGAATCTTTGAAAAAAAAAAAAAAATACCCCAAAATTTACAAATGTTTAAACTTGACTTCATCAAAGTCGCCAAATGATCTTAATTGTTCATGATAGTCATAGTTGTTTTTTAAAAAAAATTATTTTAAAAAACAATTATGTTATTAAAAGAATTATTTTTTAAGACAATCATAATAATCATATATATATATATATATATATATATATATATATATATATATATATATATATATATATATATATATATATATATATATATATATATATTTTTTTTTTTTTTGAATCCGGTGCAACCCCCCAATTAGGTGAGTTCGTGAGAACTGATCCTGAACATTCATTTTAATATTTTAATGGTTAGGATTTATTGTTTGTTTTATTGGTAAATGGATGGTATTGAATATAATTAGGGGTAGTGATGTAATTTTTGCAGTGCATTTATTTCTTTCCGTGTGAAATATATGGTTAAATATTCTATTTCCTTATAGGTGGTGGTGGTATTTGTGTAGAATTTGTATTCATCTAAGCGATTCATCTCCACAGAAAATGCAGAAGAGGAATCGTCGCATTCACTAACGCACAAGTACTATGCAGTAACTTGAATTCACTAACGCACCCGACGACATATGTCTTTATTCAGCCACAACGATATGCACCGACTGGTCACCTGCTACGCACATAGCAGTACACGGAGATGCATATGCACCATTTTAGTATTTATTAACAGCTCTTGTTTACCGTATAATGCATCCACTTAGTCGTTAACCGTCATTTATTCACTCCAAGATTACACAACACCAACAGTACGTGAGGGGGAAAAACGACATACGCACATGCCTAGACACGCATATGCACCTACCTGTGCTGCTACAAGCCATTAGTGAAGTGTATGCACCCACCTGAACACACACACGCTATGCACATCACATAACTTCTAGTTCGTCCACCAACCCCCAACCCCGCCCACCATCCCAGCAGAAAAAACCCTAATATTCAGCGTATGCACAGACGATGGCACGTAAATGCACTTACCCGTTCGTTTTCTCCTCAAGCCTTGTTCACGCCAAGTTCACCTCATCAGCCTTTATAGTAATTCAAAGTATTAATTTCCATCCATAAACTCCCTAATTTAATGCTACAGATTCCAATAATATTATGTCTATAAATAAATTACAATTACAATTACTAATATATCTTTTACATTGGAAAATGTCCTTAATTACTACCCTAATCTCTTATAATCTCAACCATTGATGGAAATTGAATCAATGGATATTAGGAGGCCTCATGGTCTCATCTATTAGAGGGGGTGCACCGGATTCGAAGCCTATATATATATATATATATATATATATATATATATATATATATATATATATATATATATATATATATATATATATATATATATATATATATATATATATATATATATATACTTTTATTATTAGAACTCAGGTAAGATGTAATATATTGATTAGCTATTATTTAGTCTCAAACTCTCAATTGCATTTTTTTGGTCGATATGATTTAAGAGATTTTGATAAATATTTTAAATTAGAAGCTCAATTGTAGTATTCAATAAATTCACTTTGGGGATTTATTTCACAACTTTTCTATAAATTTTAAAAGGTTCGGATGTTTAATTTAATCATAATGTATAATTTAATTCAAAAAGTTCAATACATATAAATGGCATTTTCTTGTTGGCCCTTTTGAGTGTCACTGGCTCTATTACATTGTAGTATCTGAAACACAAAGAACCGATAACGCCTCCACTAAGACTCAAACTCACAATCTTCCAAATAGAAGTCCAACCCAGGTACCATTAGACCACATAGTCCTAATATTTTGAATTTAATACTACAGAAATAAAATTGATACCTACGACGAATTAAGTGAGCAAGCCGCATTGGGGTTTACGGTTTACCAATTATTTGGCTGCTATAAACTAAGTAATAGCAATAATTACTATTATCATTATTATAATAATATAATTGAAGTGGCATTAATAACTCGAACTACAGTTAGTTAATGTATATCGATTATCGAATTGGAAAATGCTACAAAACTATGAGCCAAATTTGGTGTGCAAGATATTTAAAGAAAGTAAAATTAACGAATTTAATTTAGGGTTGGAAACCTGGAAAATGAGTTTTGGAAATCATTATCTAAGTTTCCATTGTTTGGATGTGTCTGGAAAATCAAGTCAACGAAAATTATTTTTCGTTGACTTTGGAAAATAGGCTTGTTTGGAGGAAAATGACTTTCCCTTTTTTTTTGGGAAGTCATTTTTCAACTTTTACACCAACATCACACCACCACCAACATCATCAACACCATACCACCACCACCTCACTACCACCATCACCACCACTACTGCCGCCGCAACCACACCACCACCATCACACCATCACACCACCACCACTACTACCACCATCACACCACCACCACTACCACCACCAACACCATACCACCGCAACTACTACCACCACCAACACCATACCACCACCACCACCACCACCACTGCCACTACCATCATACCACCGCAACCATCGTCGCTGCCACCACTACCACCACACCACCACCGCCACCACCACCACCACCATACCACCGCAACCACCGTCGTCGCCGCCACCACCACCACTACCGCCGTCGCCGCCACCACCACACCACCACCACTATCACAACACCACCACCATCACACCACTATGCCGCCGCTACCACCACGACCATACCACTACAAATAGGCCACATAACTGCACACCGAAGTGCAATTAGGCCATTGAACTAAAAAAGAATGCAATTGAGCCATTGAACAACACAAAAAAAAATATAATTTAGCCCAAAATGACTTGTTTACCTGGTGTAGCAAGTTACCGATTTTAAAATTAATTTTTCAAAATAATTTTTAATAAATAAATAATTAAAATATTTAAAAAAAAAAAAACAGAATTCGTCTCCAGCTGGCTACGTCTCCGTGGCCGGAGACGGACCTCCGTCTCCAGCCATGGAGACAAAGACCTTCGTCTCCATGGCCAGGGAGACGAAAGGACGGACCCTTCGTCTCCCTGGCCATGGAGACGAAGTTCGTCACTTCGTCTCCATGGCTATGGAAACGAAGGTTCATCTTCGGCCATGGAGACAAAGTCGACCGGATACGATCCCGCCATTTTCTGTTTTTTTTTTTTTTAAATATTTCAATTATTTATTTATTAAAAATTAATTTTAAAATTGGTAACTTGCTACTCTAGGTAAACAAGTCATTTTGGGTTAAATTGCCACTACAAGAAAAATCGCGAATCGCGACGGAATTTTTCCGTCGCGAATCGCGTTTCGCGACGGAATTTATTCCGTCATCTATCACCTTGTTGTATTTTGATAGACGACAGAATTATTCCGTCGCCACTTTTGGCGATGGACTTCGCGACGAAAAATTTCCGTCGCCATTTGGCGACAGAAGTATTCCGTCGCGATTCCATCACCCATTTCGCAACGGAACTGTTTCCGTTGCAAATCCGTCGTTATTTCTAGAGTAAATAATCCGTCGCCATATTATTTTTTCTGTCGCCAATTCCGTCGCCCATTTCGCAACGGAACACAAATCGGCCGCCTTTTCCGTCGCAACATAGACGCCGTAAATTACTTCCATAGCAAATTCGGTCGTGAAAATTTGCCGCCAATATTTCGCGGACTTTATTTTATCTTTGCACCAAGATTCGCGACGGAATTAAATTCCGTCGCCATTTTGCAACGGAATGTATTCTGTCTCAATTTCGGTCGCTAAATGGCGACGGAATATAGTCTGTCGCGTTTCACGATTTTTCTTGTATTGTGCATGTTTTTGTGTTGTTCAATGGCTTAATTGCATTCTTTTTTAGTTCAATGACCTAATTGCACTTTGGTGTGCAATTGAGTGGCCTATTTGACCCTTATTCCTTAATTTAATTAGTATGCTATTTGTAAATTTATATAAAAAATTTATTTAAAATTCATAATTCATAATGTCTTTTACTATCACGTTCAGTCACCATCTACACACCCAATAAGAGCCAATAAAGTTACGCCCTAACAAACATTAAAAATTGTTGATGTAATTGTTGGTTGAAATGAATGATTCATATTTTTTTGATTTTAGTATTTTTTTTCCTACTTTACCATCTATTATATCATTTATTTTTCCTAAATACCACTACATACATTTCGTCAATGTAAACTTTAGTAACGGAATATACTATTTATTATTCTTGATGAGCGTTGTTTGAAAGGCCAAAGAATTGTATTGAGAATAGAATAGTTCAATAATACACAGTATCAGAACAGATATACATATAAATGTAGTAGAATGCATTTTATACAATATTTGAATGGAAACCTCGAGGAGACAGTTTACATGCGGCAGCCTCCAGTTATTTTGATCTTTGCTATATATCCTAATTATGTTTGTTTATTGTACCGTTCATTGTATGGCTTGAAGCAGGATCCGCAAGCCTGGTTTAAACGTCTGCGTGATTTCCTTTTGTCAGTGGGGTTTAAGGCATCTAAGACGGATGTCTCCTTATTTTACTATTCGATTGTGGGATCTCAGGTGTTTTTGCTTGTTTATGTGGGATGACATTTTATTGATTGGCAGTGATTCCAAGTTGGTTTCTGAACTGATGCAGCGTCTTGCTTCGATGTTTAAGTTGCGTGATCTGGGATCTCCTAGTTTTTTCCTTGGGATTGAAACTATTCCTTTTGAAAATGGTATGATTTTATCTCAGCGTAGGTACATGTCTGACATTTTGAATAGTGCAAGGATGATTGGTTGTAAGCCACTTGCTTCGCCTATCTTAGTGGCCCGGTCGGTCTCGTTGTCTGAAGAGTTGTATGACAATCCTACACATTATATGAGTTTAATTAGCAGGTGCGTTGTAGTATCTCACAGTTACACGCTCAGATCTGTCCTTTGTAGTGAATCAGCTTTGTCAGCGTATGCATTCTTCGACTGTAGCACACTGGACTATGCTAAAGCGTGTGTTGAGGTATGTCAAGGACTCAAGGGTACTTTGAATTTTGGTTTACGGTTGTGTGCCTCGAATTCTTTTGATTTGCATGCCTACTCAGATTCGGACTGGGCTGGTAGTACTGTTGACCGTAAATCGACTAGTGGGTTTGCTGTTTTTCTTGGGCGTAATTTGGTGCCATGGGTTAGCCGTAAACAACGCACTTTTGCGCAGTCTTCTACTAAGGCTGAGTACAAGGGGTTGGCTGATGTGGCTGCTGAAGTCACTTTGGATTGTTTCCTTATTGCAGAGCTCGGTCTTCATTCGTCCAATCCTCCCAGACTATGATGTGACAATTTAAGTGCTACATATCTATGCGCCAATCCTATTTTTCATGCCAGAACAAAGCACTTTGAAGTTGACTATCACTTTGTTCGTGATAAAGTAGCTTCTGGTGATCTGCGTGGAAATTTTATTTCCGCCAAAGACCAGGTTGCTAATATCTTCACCAAACCGCTGGCTGCTACGCGTTTTGAGCTCCTGCGAGACAAGCTCAATGTTGTGGCCTCCCAACCTTGTGCTTGGTCACTATTTTATACAATATAAAATTTAACACGAACTTTAATCAATTAATTAGAATCACGCATTGGGCATTGATGAAAGGATACACCTAATTTACAATATATATTCAACACAGATGAGAAATTATGCCTATTATCATTGTCTTTTTGGAGAAGGAGGATTTGGTTATGTTTTTTAAGGTGCACTACTCCAAGCTAAGGCACTAAAATTGTACTAAATTAAATCACACCATGAGATTAGGTCAAATCAAGAAATCATTACTGGCGAAAGTGGCAACAAGAGAAAACATGGATCACGGCAATTAATAGGGTTTTGTGTTGCAAAAACTATACTTAGGGTACTATCTAGTGAAGATGCTTCCCTCTAAAACTGTTATTGCACCAGTTAATCCAACATTTTTGCCACAGGTCATAGTTATGCATTCTTGAAATATTTACTTTTATGAAATATTTGATAATCTTGCATTGATATACGTTAGGATACCGAATGATACTTTGATAAATTTTGAAATACTAATTAAAAAATACACATTGAGCATTTGACTATTTGCACAATGCACATGTGGTAACTAATCTAACAAATAAATTTCATAGACTTTTACCTTTATCAGTATGGCACAAACAATTTCCCATCTATTTTTGCCTTGCAGTTAGTCTTTATATAAAAATATAATATAGTAGATTTTCATTGACCTTCAGTGAAATTGTGGTCCAATTCACTAGTAAAACGTATGGAAAGTCACAACCACGGAGGCATATATATTATGGTCTTATGGAGTACATTTCTTTTACAGGACAAATAAAGTTGAACAAGTTAGAAATTTAGTTCGCATCGCATGTATAATTAAACGTGTTAATATTATTATTAATTAGGCAAGACCGCAAGATTAAAGTGGTCTATTTAAAATAATATTTAGGACTAATTGTCAAATTTTTCATGAAAAATTAATTTGTAGATACTATAAGAAATATTTTTTAAGAGAAAATGGTCAAGTAGACTCCTAAACTTTATTCAAAAAATTAATTAAGTACTTAAATTTTAAAAGTTGTAATTAAACTCATAAACATATTATTTTGAAGCATTTAAGTCCAAAAATCGATTGGTAATTACAAGTTACCTAGGGTTCCAACGACCTTTCCTACCCATTCCGACCATAATCACTAGAGACCGGCGACCGGACGATCACCAATCGCGTTTGGAGGAGGCGATCAACTGGCCTGCCTTCTCCTTCGTTGGAGAAGGCAACCAACTGATTTGCCTTCTCCTTCACTCGCGCCTGGAGAAGGGGGTTGCCTTCTCCAATTCAATTGCCGGAGAAGATGACCAAACTGGTCGCCTTCTCCAGCAAAGGAGAGGGCGACTAGTTGGTTTGCCTTCCAACTTTGTCGCCTTCTCAAGCAAAGAGGAAGGCAGACCAGTTAGTCGTCCGTGATTATTGTCGAAAAGCGTAGGAAAGGTTGTCGGAACCCTAGGTAACTTGTAATTACAGGTTACTATTCGATTTTTGGGCTTAAATATTTCAAAATAACATGTTTATGAATTTAATTGTAATTTTTGAAATTTTAAAGACCTAATTAATTTTTTGAGTGAAATTCATGAGCCTAATGAAGGCGAATGTTATCATCTTCAAGACTTTGTTGGATAAGGTTGTGACTATGAAAATGATGTTGAATTGAATTAGAGACTTAATTCCAACACGATGAGACCAATGGTTATCAAAGATAATCGTACTAACAATATAGCTATCAAAGATAATTGTACTAACAAAATGAATATTTTAATTTATACTTTTTCATTCTAGACATTTTCATAATTATATTACTCAATATTAATTGTTTCACTAGTTCAAGAAGCATTTTTATTGATTATTTCATTTGGTAAAAATTGATTGATATTATCTTTATTTATAATAGACTATATGTTTTGTGGCAATCAATTTTTATTTTATTTTATCTTTTGTAATACAAAATTATTTAAGAGTTATAAAAATATATTACTCCGTATATGTTATAAAAGTTTTTTTTACAACATTATAAATAATGTATCAGAAATTATAAAATGTTTGTAAACATGTTTTCAATTTAAAGTTTTAATGACTTGTATATACTTTTATAATGTAAAAAAGTGTTTAAACAAGTCCATAAAAGTTAGGTTTACAAAATTTATTACTGTAAAGAGATTTTATGAAAATTATTTAAATTTTTTTTCTTTAAAAGTTTTAAAAGCCGCTACAAATCTTAATGGAATGCAGCCCTAAAACTTTTGAAGTAAAAATTTATTTGGGATGTACATGATAAAAATAGTTGTCATTACTTACCATATCATGCAGTAAAAATAAAAGAGTAAATATTGGAAGTCTGTAATAAAACTCTGCTTCTGCTACAAACCTCTGATTAAATTAATGAACTTAAATTGATGGTGATGCCGATGTCTCTCTGCTTTTCTACCCTTTCCAATACTTCTTCTAACTTTGGTTTTTTCTGCAGTGAGAAAACTCAGATATGGCCGTCTCAACAGGAAAGCTCACAATTGATATTTTAAAGTTTATCTGGTGACTTTAGTCATAAAAACTCACAAGAAGGTGAACCAACTTTTAAAGGTGCACTTTAATTTAGACGAAATTTACTTTGTGACTCTTTTTGGTAAAGGACTACAAGAAGGTAAATTAATTTTTGAAGGTTCAATTCACTCTAGGTGAAACCCACCTTGTGAGTACGTTGTGATCGTAAATGGCAAAAGACCACAACTAGATAACCAACTTAAGTTGTCCATTGACTCAAACCACGAATGTTAATAAACTGCTCCCATATGGAGTCAAACTTAAAATATTGTAATTACTAAGTTAAATGCCTAACCATCTCTATTAGAATTGCCTCCATGGTTCAGTTCTCTCGGGTCAAGGGTGAGTGGTCATTTTTCAGTTTCAGTAAATCAACTAACCAAATTACTTTCAATTTTGAGTACTATCGACTCTATTAATATAAGTTGTAACCCAAAGAGTCAATACACCATCATTGGAGTTCGATCTTGTGACCTTCTCTCAAGGAGAACCACATAGGTGCCAATTAAGTACAAATTGCTTGACATTGGATAAATAATTATAAATTAAAATTTTCAATTATCCGTTATTTCGTCTTAAAATAAGACTATATTAATATTGTAAGTCCATTTTATTTTGTACAAACAAATTCATTATTCAACCTTATATACTTGAGTCATTACTCTTTATGTGAATTTTGGTTCAATTAATTGGTTTTACGAATTTGAAAAATGGGTTATATAGTACATGGATAAGAGGAGCATGTAGGTATGCAAAATGCAATGGTGAGTAGGTGTGTTGATTTTGAGGGAAGTGATTATGCTAGTAAATTAAAAATAAATATGTAAGTGATGGTGAAAGTAGGTATTCAAAAAAGTTACTAGTGTAAGTTGATAAGTAAATAAAACACTACCCATCCATGATCTCAGAGAATTGACGAGACATTTTGTTGGAAGGAGGGAATTAAGCGAAAAATAAATTGTAATTTCATATAAAAAATAAGATGAGAACAAAGTGAAAGTAAATAAAGACTAAAATAATAACAATAATAATAATAATAATAATAATAATAATAATAATAATAATAATAATAATAATAATGGCAAAGCTGTCTTGTTGTGAAATTCAAATTCAGTGGGCTGTAAAATTGTAATTAATACGAGAGCATAGAAATTGCAATTCCATGATTTAAGAGAATTGTAATTTATTTCAACCAAATAATAGAATTATAAATTTCATAAAATTTAATGGAAATAGAATTACACAATTCTATCGCACCAAACACGCTCCGTGGTCATAACTAAGAAAATAACAAGAAAACAAAATGTTGGCGTAGAGACAACCATATCTGCAGAGTTTTCTCACTGCCAAAAAAAAAAAAAAAAAAAAAAACAAGTGATGAATTTAATTAATTCGGGGTAGCCTGAATTACTAAACCCGATAATAAAGACTAAATCAACAATAGGTAATAAAGACAAGGAATATATGTCGTGGAGAGAATTCTTGTATTAGTAATAGTTTGTAGGAGAATTACAAGGAAATGTAATAATTAGACAACAGATTCGATGTCCTAAACAAGACAAGGATGAGACATTTTATACCAAGCTACCTTCCACTCGGGCCGAGGCTGCCCCCAGTTGAGGTCGACCTTGGCCGAGGTCAACCCTAGTTGAGGTTGCAGGGTCGATTTTTAGATTTTTGTGACTCCATTTGGTAAATAAATGAGGCCCTACCAAAATCACAATCTTTAAAATCAATACCGTATTTTTTTCTAATAATAAGGTGGTAAGATGTTATTGTGCACAAAGAAAAAACAAAAAACATAATAATAATAATAATAATAGTGTGCGCAACTCACAATGCAAAAGGATTAAAAAAAAAGGAGATGTTCAAAGTTGGAGCAGCACTCTAGTTAACCTCTGACCTTCAAGTTAAAATACAATAAGCACGTGTTCCTACCATTTCTCCATAGAGTCTTTTAAGTTTAATTGAAAACTTTTAGTTTTTATTTCTAAATTAGGTAGGTAAAAATTAAATATTAGACCCTTCAAAATTTGGGGTCCTGTGCGGTAACCCAACTTACACAGCCTAAAATCCGGCCCTGAGTTGAGGTCACCCTTACCCGAGGTCGACCCGGTCGAAGCCGTCTTTAGTCAAGGTTGTCCCAAGCTTCCCTAGTCACATTTTTTCTTCTTCGGATCAATTTACCCCGGGCCCATTTCTAATATTTCTATGGTCGAGTTAGAAGAAGAAGTACCGGAAAGGGTAGAAAAGTAGAGAGACATCGCCCATCGGCATCACCATCAATTTAAGTTCATTTAATCAGAGGTGTGAGTTTTCACGTTTGTAGCAGAGCAGAAGCTTTTAATTAATTTATTAATTTATTGCCCACTCCAAATATTGTCTGTCCTAGCTCGTGAACCATTCGTGTCTCCTACCCAATTACATTCCACTTTCATTAATTTTTTTCTGTGCTCCACATTTATATATGCACTGCTACCACTTCAATTCTCATTTAATTTGTTCTTCTTTTTCTTAAATATTCATATATTCCACTCTAAATTAATGCCATTAATGCCTCTGTGTTTAAATTTTTCTAGTTCCCCATTTCACCTCGACCTGACAGAGCATTTGAAGATGTAAATCATGGCGATATAATAGCTCAACAGATAAGGCTAAATGTCGATGCACATAACTACATAAGGAATATGTCCACTTTGGACATAATTCCAAGTGTTGTCTTATTGCCAACATTAATTTATGCACTCAAATTACCGTTTCAAATTACTAGTAACTAGCCCTAGATATATAAAATTTATGGTGCAATCCGGCCTCAAGATTTATAAAGTTCATAACTACAAATGCTTTAGAGATTTTTTTTTTTTTTTTTTAACTATATCATTAATACAAAAGTTAATTAAGACTCAAATATATTAAGAACAGTGAACTATTTCATAAAATTTTGCAAGCAAGAATCATAATGGGGTGTTAGAATAGTTGTTAGCTAACTGTGTTAGAGGGTTTGCCTAGTTGATAATATTAGTTGATTGTAGAAAAATATTTCATAAATTAGCGGTTAATTGATAGTTGATAACTGATAGCTGGCGTTGCCAAATGTTTGTATGAAAGAAAGTGGCAAGATGAATATTATATATGCTAGCTATGGTGCTGCCAAATGTTTGAATCCCATAACTGGCCAATTGTCCAATACCCATGAATAATGAATTGCCCATATATGTTTTTGTTTTTGATTTCTTTAATTTAATTTACAAAAATTATTCTTATTATGAATGAGATCAGAAAACCTGTGAATCTCTGAAAACCCAGCCAAGTATCATGTGAAAGTCAGCAGATGTACAATCTACATTAAAAACCTTCCCTCTCCCACTCTCCAATATACATCATAAAACCTAGTCCAAATTTCTTGTAACTTCAATCCACCAAAAAAACACCATTTTGCCATTCTCCCTCAATTATCTCCATTGCTTTTAGTAGCTTTGAAGTTTCCTTTGTTTGTTCTTATATATATATAGGAGGGCATATAACGAAAGACAAGATGAAGGCAGTGAGAAATCCTACATTTGGGTTGTGGACTATGTTGTTTGTTACAATGGTTTTTCTGCTACTTGGCACTAGCCAAAGCCTAAGACCATCTCATTGTAAGTTCCAAAACTTTATCCTAGCTATGAAATTTAATTTGTTGCAAGTTAATTAATAATCTTGGTTACATGTTCTAGTTACCTACAAAGGGAATGGACTTCACAAGGGTGACCAAACCAACAACAACAACCTAGAGGTTTGTCTCTGATCTAGCCATCTCGCGTAATTGTAATCTTTTAATCTTATTGAAAATTTTAAGAGAATAGACTTATATGCTATTTGGGTTGTATCAATTATTATCAACAATTTATTCCCATGCATGGTACTTGTTATGATATAAATAAGCACTATGTTGACCGACACCTTAAAATTATATTTCTCAGTCTTTTATATATGCATCCTACTTGTTAGGTCAAGTTTTACCACTACGCCAAAAAACTCTAGCTCAAAGCGGATACACAATTTTATTTCCTTATATACTGCCACTACATTTTCAAGAGGCATGGTGCTAGACTTGACCTTTGATCGGCCTCCGATCTGCCTAACATTCTTCCTATACTAACCACCAATTTCTGGACTTAGCCCTTTACTGGCCTCCGTCCAACACACACACGATGAATTATAGTAAAAGAAATGAAGTTTGAATTGAAGTAATTGGGATGCAGGATGAAAGGAAAGGGGAGCTAGGGATGGAGCTATATCCAACAGGGTCAAGTCTCCCGGACTGTTCTCATGCTTGTGGGCCATGCTTCCCATGCAAGAGGGTGATGGTGAGCTTCAAGTGCTCAGTTGCAGAGTCTTGCCCCATTGTTTACAGATGCATGTGTAGAGGCAAATACTACCATGTCCCTTCCAACTGAGCCTCTCCACTTGGCTGCAGATTATTGCCTCTCAATTCCATACTTTTTTTTTTTGTTTTTTTACGATAGATTAGATCAGAGTATGTAGCTAGCTAGGTTCTATGGTGGGTCGGTCAGATCTCAGATCAGAGCAGAGTATTTTACATGTTATTAGTGCTTTAATCACAACTGTTAGTGTTTAATTTTGTCATGTTTTCATGAATATTTAGTAAGCAGAATTATTAGAAAAAGGTTAGTTAGCTTTACTCGATCTTTTTGTAGTTGAGATATGTCAGACATTTTACTGTAGTAAATAGTACTAGTAGTATAGATCAGTTGAGATATTATTAGTTATTACATTAATTAATGCTGCTATTTTAATTTTAGAAATACTGTGCTAATTGAGAGTATAGAGGATATATATGTTCCTATGAGTATGGTGACAATGCCACATTTAATTTGGTCCTCAAGTTTCAAAACGTTCACAACTGGTTCGATCTCTATTTAAGAAAAAAATTTAACATCAGGCCGGCTTCCCTGTTAGAACCAAGGCTATAAATGTTTTTTAATATCATATTTTTTCTTTTAATGGGGTATTTGCATTGGTTGGATAGAGGGAATTAGAAATAAATGAATTGTAATTTTATGGGAAATAAATAAGGTATGAATTGGAATTCCATTGTTTGGTAAGTTAGAATAGAATTACTGAAAATTGAAAAAGAAGAAGTGAATAAAGACTAAAATGCTCTTATGTAATAATAATAATAATAATAATAATAATAATAATAATAATAATAATAATAGGGTTAAAGTTGTCATTTGGTGTGTAATTCCAATTCCGATTCCATTGGTTGTGAAATTCAATTCGATCTTGCGGGTAGGAAGAGGGGAGAGGAGACCTATACGAATTGCAATTCCATGGTTAGGGGGTGGATTGCAGTTCCCTCAAACCAAATAATGAAATCATAAATTCCATAAAATTTAGTGGGAATGAAATTACAATTCTACCCTACCAAACGCGCCATTAAACTGATCTAAACCTTGTACCCCTTTGCAAGCAAATACTTGAATGATAGCAGAGAAAGTGTATAGAGAGCCGAAGCATCCTTTAGACATTTTAGAAACTGCCATGGAGCAAATTAAAAGGAATTCATATCAGGATATAGTTATCATGAGTGGACCGGTTTTTAATTTGCTGCTCTCACAATGAGCTGAGCTTCACTATTAACTCTCAATGACTTTAATTCTGGGTATTGGGAGCATATATGCATGCCTCAAATAAATTCAAAATTCTCTATACTTACTCCAACTTCAGATGTCTAATGCTTTCTGCTATAGATCAAATGCATTTTAACTAATTTTTTTTGGATCTGTTACGTTTCAGGAACCATCATCTATCTTTAATTTGTCGACCTGGCGTCCCTGTGATCATCGCATGCATCACACTTTCTAGCGGAGTAGACCCCGTGGCTATGCATCAATGCATATCGTTATCATATCCCTAGCGGAGGATCGGAGACCGATTCTGGCCGAATCGTCCGCGGCGGGGCGGCGCGATTTTTGCAACATTGTTTTGAATAAACTAAATGTACATTATTTTTGTACTGTATGTACATTGTACATTATTTTTGTACTAAATGTACATTATTTTACAGTATTCAAAATATGGTCCATACAGCTTGTCTGGATCATGGTCCACACAATAATGATTGCCAAGAAACTGTGGAATAGTTATGCTGTGCATCTGTATGCACCATGCATGGTGCATACAGATGCAAAAACGACGTTATTTTATTAAAAACGTGCGTCTCCCCTTTAAAAAAAAATTCAGGTTCGATTCCTAGTAACAACATTATTTTGTTCATTCATTATGGAATTTTAGTTCATGGATTATGGAATTATAGTTCATCGATTATGGAACTATAGTTTATCAATTCTGGAATTATAGTTCATCGATTCTGAAATTTTAGTTCATAGATTATGGAATTTTAGTTCATTCATTCTGAAAATTTTAGTTCATAGATTAGATTATGGAATTATAGTTCATCAATTATGGAATTTTAGTTCATAGATTAGATTATGGAATTATAGTTCATCGATTATGAAATTATAGTTCATCGATTATGGAATTATAGTTTCGAACCTAATTTTTTTTTTTTAAGGAGAGACGCGCGTTTTATAAAAACGACGTCGTTTTTGCATCCGTATGCACCATGCTTGGTGCATACGGATGCACAGCATAATTTGCCGAAACTGTGACTTCACTTATGTTTTCTCTTCAAAGCCCAATTTCGTAGCCCAAATTTATACATTTTAGATATATATTAAGTAAAAGTATTCATATTGTGACGAATGTTTTTCATGCTTGGTTTTCTAATCTCCTAAATATTCTAGACTCTGATGGAATATTATATATAACAACAATCTTATATCATAGTTGGAGAGTACGGAATGGAGCAGTATGGGATGCCGCCCTGCCACGGCCAACGAAACTGCTAGCCAGGGCCACAGCGACCATGGAAGCATGGTGCAATGCATGACTGCCATTCGCACCTGTGACGCAGCCGCAACAACCAGAGCCCATTGGAGGACTGCCACTGCCGCACGGTCTCACGCCCGCCATGCCCCGCATCACGGCGGCAGTGATACCCAAGACATGCCGCGTGGATGCCGGCTACCTTCACCACTCTGGTGCGGCAACGGTAGGGGCAGTTTTACTCGATACGAATTATGGATATGTGGCAGCATTCAGTGCCCCTCTTCCAGTTTGCTTCTCACCACTCATGGCGAAGGTATTTGCGTGCAAAGAAGCGTTATCATGGCTTAAAGACCGGGGTGAAACAGCAGTACACCTTTACACAGATTGCCTATCATTGAAACTATATCTCATCTCACTCCCGCCTATAATTCGTTCGTATGTTGGTTATGTTGTTAATAGCTGTAAGTCTATTGCAGCTTCGATTGATTTTTGTTCTTCTAGTTTCATCCCTAGATCAGACAATTATTTGGCTCATGCGTTAGCATCCGCTGCGTTCCAGCAGCCTACTATTATGTATTGGGATCTATATATCCCCACCTGACATTATTGCAGCGTATTTCTAATGAAAGCACCATGAAAATTTAAAAAAAAAAAAAAGAAGTAAAAGCATGATTTTGAGACCCCCAAAACCCTAAGCTATATATATGCATTCTTGTTCGTCTCACTCGCCTGACAGCAGCACAAGAACACCACTATCTTGTGTGCGAGAGTAACCAAATGTTTTCAAAAATCATAAATTAAACAGTTTGAACTACAAAACTCTGTATTTTCTAAACCTATAAATATGTACTTATTTTACGGGGCAGAGCGATTCTAGAGTGGTACTTAGCATTTTATGCTAACTGTTTGCTTCTCGTGTTTTTAAACTTAACACTTTTCCAAGTTTTGTTGATGCATGATGAGAGCGCATTAGATGCTTGACTCTTTTGGTAATTCTATCCTGTTAGTTTAGCCCCTTTAGATGACTCCTGTTGTATTGTGACTCAGCTTGAGACTTGTAGACTTTTTTTATGGACTTGATAGTGTTTTTTTTGTGGCCACCACAGTTTGTTTGATGCTTAGACGTCTGGGTCTTAAAACCCTTGTTTATTTTTAGCTTGTGGGTATTGTTTGATGATTTTAAGCCGATACAACTATCCGGGAGTGGGTAGTTGTGGCGCTAACATTCCCCGTTGATGATTGTAGATTCTAGAATTGAACTTTATTATTAGTTTAATAGAATTCTTTGGTTTATTCTGCTGCATGCGTAAGTTATTTTTAATCTAGGCTCTAGGGTTGGAAAATCGGGGTGTTACATGTACCTGTTGTAGTGATGGAGGTGCTTCGGCCGTGGATGGAGAAGGGATGGATAACTATCTTATTTGTATTACTAATAATGGTAAATTTTCATTTGTATGTACTGAACTTGAAAACATTCAGGTAACTATCTAAAAAATCTTAATTTAATCTGTTGCAACCATCATTGACAAATGTTACAAAGTATTCATAGTGATGGTAGCATACAATATAATGCGTAAAATTGAAAGGGGTGAAAAACAGTGGATGGACTATTTTACCCTTCAATGAATGAAATGCTTTTTACATTTGAATGCAAGGCCAACCTCCATTTTCGTTTTTAAATGTATTTATTTGTTTTAATTTAGTTTAGCCTTTAATTTGTTTTCTCCCTGTTGGCTCTAACTAGCTAGGGTAGGATCTTTATGACCAGAATTTCCCAGGCCCTACCTCGGACCCCCATATGGCCATATATATATAATAAATAAATGTGATCAATATGAGAATCTTAGTTGGGATGAATTAAAATATTCAAGAGTTGGTTTTAGTTGTGCTGTCACAGCTAACAAGCCAAGTGGGAAATGCCAAGAATATATACTCTAATATAAGGCTAGTTATCACACCTTACATATTATTATAAGTAGAGCTAAATAAAATGCAATTAAAGGATGTGGTCCGTTTAGATCATAGTCTTCAGCAAGGAATTCAATCCAGACCTCCCAGCATCCATTTTTCTCATACACGTTTTTAATGAGATTCGAACCTCCACACTACTCTTCATGTATGCATAAGAGATCCAATCTAGACTATCCAGCATCCATTTCTCCCATACATGTTTTAGTACGTGACATTTAAGTCAGGTGATTGACCAACTAGCTAAGTTTCGAGAGACTTTTGTTTGTTTGTTTGTTTGTTTGTTTTGTTTTTTAAGATCTATAGTAATGTGCCATGGTGGTTAGGCCCTGTTTTGGGAAGGCATTTGGGATTTAACTTACACAGATTTCACTTCCAAACAATATTATTTTAATTTCATCGTCACTGCTCTAACTAGTAATGGAAGCATTTTTCAATTCATATATATGGCTGGTAGGTGAAGTCCTAGCAGGTAGGTGAAGTATCTTCAATTTATTTATTTGCTTTATTTAGTTGATGATGATGGCATTGATATGATGCATGTTCTTGTTTCAGTGCTTTTATTTACTAGCAATTGTTGTTGGATACTATATTTTGAGTGTTGATTGTTGAATGACATACAATACCCACCAAAAAAGGTTATATATATAGTACTTGTCACTAACGTCGACAAAGACATTCATTCGTAGGGTGCGCTCGAACTCGTGATTTGACTTTGATATCATCAGTGATGGAGTTATAATGGGAACAGTGGGGGCAATTGAGCCCACTCCCTCCACTCCGGCAAATTATATCATGCACCGTGCGTCCTTTTTGTTAAATGAAAAGAAACGGTGTTTGTTTTCCGCCGTTTCGCACCCTTTCGCAAAAAGTAACTCTGTTATTCAGTGTCATTTTGTA